GCAATAAAACAAGCAAACCACAGAGATGTAAGGACACTAATAAGAATATAATGTCGAGCAAAGTAAACTAAACATTTAATATACTCATGGCTTTACTTGTATAATTCCATTTATATGTGTTGAAAAACAGACAAGGGACCAGTGTTGTGGTGCAGGTTAGGCCAGTGCTTGTGACACTGGCATCCCATACTGGAATGCTTGTTTGAGTCCTAGTTGCTCCCCTTCCAATCCAACTCCCTTTAATGTACTTGGGAAAAGCAGCGAAGGATGGCTCAAATACTTGGGTCCCCACCACTCACACAGGAGACCTGAATGTAGTTCCAGGTTTCTAGTTTCAGCCTGCCCCACCCCTGGCTGCTGTGCCATTTAGGGAGTGAACCAGCAGATGAAAGATTTCTGTCTCTTCTTCTCTCCATGTCACTCTGCCTTTCAAATAAATAAATCTTTAAAATAAAAAAGCAAAAAATTACTTTAATGCTATTAGAAATCAAGATAATGGGGGCCAGCACTGTGGTGTAGCAGGTAAAGCCACCACCTGCAGTACCAGCATCCCATATGGGCACCGGTTCAAGTCCCAGCTCTCTGCTATGGCCTGGGAAAGCAGTAGAAGATGGCCCAAGTCCTTGGGCCTCTGCACCTGCGTGGGAGACAAAGAAGAAACTCCTGGCTCCTGGCTTTGGATCAGCGCAGCTCCGGCCGTTGCAGTCATCTGGAGTGAAGCAGTGGATGGAAGACCTGTCTCTATCTCTGCCTCTCCTCTCTGTGTGTAACTCTTTCAAGTAAATAAATAAATCTTAAGAAAAAATCAAGATAATGGTTCTCTTTAGGGAGAACTGAGGGGATGATGACTGGAAGGACACTTAAGATGCCTAGCAACGTTCTATTTTTTGAACTGGGCAGGTTTCTGTGGATGTTTTAGCTTTGTGCTAATTCATCCAGCTGTTAACTTACATTTCCGTATTTTTCTGTTTGTTCCTCTTTTTTATGTCATAAAAAGCTTTTCTAAACAGAAAAATAATTAGCTGGGGAAAAAAATTGAGAATGTTATACATTTTGACAGCACATTTTCTTTGCCAGTTCCATGAAGGGAAAAATGTAAAATTTCCTATGATAATCAAATGAGGACCCTAATTCCTAATCACCAGGATATCCTCTGAGCTTAAAAGGCATAATGTGGATTTCAGAAATGCAATAGCAGAAAAAGTCAACATCAACTTCAGTAACAGTGACTATTCTTGATGTTGTCTCTATGGTACTGAACTATTTAACTCTGGGCGGGCGGGCGGGGGACAGCCCATGCATTTTTCTGCATCTAAGCTGTCAAGTCAGCAAATAAAAGAAATTCACCTTTCAGACCTTAAAACAACCATTTGTATTGATAACTCACATTTACTAGGTGTTAAAACCACACACCACAGCAAACTACAGCTATTTGGGTTTTAATAAAGCTACTATTAGAAGAATGAGCTCTTGACTTGTACACTCTTGACACAAATTGAGATACCTGAAAATCCTTTGCCAAGAGAAAGAGGAATTACCTCCTCCAAAACTCAGCAAGCACCAAAAGAAATTAATTTAACCAATGTATTCAACACAAAAAGATTACAATAGACTGCTCATAATAGTCACCATTTACTGAGTTTTACCACATGCTGTGCACTTGCTATGTGTTTAAGAAGAGGAAGACGGGATTATTTTCCCCATTTTAAAGATGAGGAAATTGAGGCTTAGAGAAGTCAAACAATTTGCAGAACTCACTTAAGGGGTTGGAGGGGCAACATTCAATCACTTCTTGGTTTGGTGTTGAAAGATCAGTCACCTACTTCTATTTTTTTAATCTTGTATCTGCTTTCTAATCTTAAAATGTTGAGCCTACTGTCTATGAAAGTGCACAGAACATATACATGTATGTACACACACTTATAAGGAAGTTAAAGACCTCAAGCTTCTTACACTCACAAGCGCCCCGTGTAGCACAGCGCTCTAACAGAGCTTAGGTTTACTCCAACAAACAAAACAGACTTCTCAAGGATAGACCAGCAAGCCAAAGCACTGCATATACTAAGTCTACAAAGCATTAACTGGATTAATTAGCAAGGGATTTGAGAAGCAGCTTGGAGCTAGGAAACCAAAACACTAAATTGTTTAAATACTTTGGCAAAAGATCAAGGTTTCCAGGCAGCACTGGGTCTCCTTCCATCCTTTTCATTCCGTGTTTTAACACATTTAACCTGTCTGAGGTACTTTTTCTTGAGATATGAATGACATTGTCAAAATACCAAAAAGAAAAGAGAATTTTAAAAATACTGCAAGCTGTTACCAATTCTGCCAACATGTGAGAGCCCAGGCAACATTAATTACAAATCAATCGCTTAGGACATAAACAGCTCTTATCACTAGTAAACTCTCCCTCTAAAATAACTTGCTTTAAAGGGGAAAAAAAAAAGCAAATGTCTTTTCTATTATACTTGGTGGACTAATCAGGACAAAGAAACAAAATAAGATAGGAGAAAATGCACCAACTAGCAAATGCAAGAAAGGAATCCTAGCTAGATGAATGCCTGGAATGCTAACCGACTTCACTATCATTTAGCAATAATGAAGAGGAAGCAGGCAGGGTAGGGACACTTGCTGAATGGGTTTCTGGTTTCCAGGAAGTAAGAATTTTTACAACGCAACTGGTTTTCACAAAAACATATGGCAGCAAAATGATAAAAGAAAGCTTCCACCATACAATGATGGGGGTGGGGGCTGAGGGGCAATCTGTCCAACCTCTAGGATTGAAGATAATTTCATGATGGCCAAGTACACGCATCACAAATACACACACATACACACACACACACACACACGATACACAAATATCTAGTCATAGTAACAAGCTCAAAAATCAGGAAGAAAGGGAACACTTGCACACTGTTGGTGGTATTGTAATTCAGTATAATCATTTTGGAAAACAATGAAAATACAACTACTGCATTACCTAGCAATCTCACTTCTGGGTGTATATATACCCAAACTGAATTTAGTATGCTGAGAGATGTCTGTACATCTATGTTCAGCAACGCAGAAATTTCACAAGAGCCAACACAGAGAAACAACCAAGTACTTAGCAGAGGTTGAATGTATTCTTAAAAGACAGTGTTTGTGAGGGGGCTTCAGAAAGCCCACAGAAAATGGAATGTAAAAATAAAAACAGGGGCTGGCGCAGTGGTGTAGAGGATTAAGCCACCTTCTGCAACACCAGCATCTCATATAGGTGCTGCTTCATGTCCCAGCTGCTCCACTTCTGATCTAGCTCCCTGCTAATGTGCCTGGGAAAGCAGCAGCAGATGGCCCAAGTACCAGAGTCCTTGCCACCCAAGTGGGAGACTCCGGTAGAGTTCCTGGCTCCCGGCCCAGCCCTGGCAGTTTTAGCCATTTGGGGAGTGAACCAGCAGATGGGAGAGAGATTCTCTCTCCTCTCTGTTCTCTCTCTCTCTCTCTCTCTCTCTCTCTCTCTCTCTCTCTCTCTCCTCCCCTGTGTAATAAAAACCTTATTTCTCAACATAAGCCCATCAAGTCCAAGACACTTTTATAAGCAATGGTGCCAGTTATTTAGTCCATATCTACAAAATTGAGAATTCTGAGAATTTAACCATAGACCGCAGTCTTTCTCATGCTTTTAACTGAAGAAACACGGTTGCTCTGGAAGATATTGTAAGATTAGGAAACAAAAAGAATTCAGAAGGCATCAAATCAGGACCACCACATGGATGCCTAAAAATTTCCCCTCAAAAATCACCCATGTGAAGAGAGGAATGAGCAAAGTCGTGTTGTGGTAGAGAAGGACCCCCTGGCAAAGCCTGCTAATGTGTCTTTCTGCTGACACTGGCTACCTTTCTGAACACACTCTTCTAATAAGCAGGTGCTACAGTTCCCTGGCCGTTCAGAAAGACCTTGAGCATCCTAAAAACTGTTGCCATGAACTTTCACTGGTCCTCTTTTGCTGTGACTGGACCACTTCCACCTCTTGGTAGCCATTACTTTGTGCTTTTTCCACAAGATACTACTGGTAAAACCATGTTTCATCTCTGGTTATCATTCTTCCAATTAAATGTTTTAGGATTGGTCCCACTTTTTAACATTTCCATCAAAAGCTCTGTCTACAGCTGATCTGGGCATGACAGTTTTGGCACCCATCAGAGAAAGTCTGGTCTACTCTAGTTTTAAAGTCGAAAGTGTGTGAGCTGGGCCAGTTGCAATGTCCATGGTTTTGGCTATTGTTTCTCCTGTGATTCATCAGTTATATTCAATTAGGGCACAAACAAGATTAAGTTTGTCCTCACAAACTGATGAGCTGGTCTGCTGCTGTGGGTTTCAGCTTCAACATGTCTCATCCCTTCCTAAAGAAAAAGTCATTTTCCATTTTTATGTGCTGATTTCTTTGGGGCACTGTCCCCCTGAACTTTATGCAAAGCATCAGATCACCCTTCTCAACGTAAGTTACACATATGCTCTTGCTTCATTTTTAGCAGAGTAAAGGTTGCTCTGACAGGAATCCTTTTTAAACTGATATCTTATTCTTATCAGTGCCCCAAATGAGAGCCTGTACAGACATGTTGTAACATGCATGAGTTTATTCTGGTACCAAAAAAAAAAAAAAAAAAAAAAAAAAAACTTTGAAATTTACATATAGGTTTTTAATAAGATGAATTTTCTATGAAGTCTTTAAAGATCCCTCATGTATACAATGTAATTAATATTTGGCCTTTTAAAAGAACAAGAAATTCCATCTTTATAACAATATGGATTAACTTAGAGAACATTATTTTAAATGAAATATGAAGAGTCTTTAAAAAGTTTATGGAAATATATAATAAAAGACTATTCATAGATTTTGACATTTTTGGCAGCAAAATAATTTGTTATAGATTTATTGATTTGAAAGGAAGGTTACAGAGAGACAGAGGCAGAGACAGAGAGAAATCTTTGATCCACTGATTCACTCCCCAAATGACCTGAATGGCCAGGGCTGGCCAAGACCAAAGCCAGGAGCCAGGACCTTCTTCCAGGTCTGCCAAGTGGGTGCAGGGGCCCAAGCACTGGGCCGTCTTCCACTGCTTTCCCAGGTGCGTTAGCAGGGAGCTGGAAGGGAAATGGAGGAACTGGAACTGGCGCCAATATAGGATGCTGGCACCGCAGGCAGCAGTTTTACCCACTATACCACAATGCCTGCCCCCAAAATAACCGTTTAATTCCATTTTTTCCACAAACATTTTGAAGCACCCTTGTAAGCCAGGTACAGAGAGACAAGTACTGTCTGACCTCACTCTTGCATGGAATCTAAAAGAAGTTAAACTTGAGGCAGGCATTTGGCTTAGTAGTTGAGATGTTGGTTTGAATGCGCACATCCCCCATCAGAATCCCTGGGTCAATCTCCAGCTCCAGATCCTAATCCCAGCTCCAGATCCTAATCCCAGCACCCTGCTAATGTGGACCTTGAGGAGCAGCAGTGATAGCTCAAGCAGGTTATGTCCCTGCCCTCCCAATATGCGAGGCCTGAGTTGAGCTCCTGGCTTAGGCCTTAGAACCCAACTTAGTCCCAGCGGGAACGGGCATCTAAGGAGTGAACTTGCAGATGGTAGCTCTTTCTCTCAGTCTGCCCCTCTGCATCTCAAACTTACTGTTTGTTAACGTTTAACAAAGTCAAGTTCATAGAGGTAGAGAGTAAAGTGGCAGTTACCAGAGGCTGGAGGAGGATGGACGGGCAAAGGGGAGGTCTTGGTCAAGGGTACAGGGTCAGGAGGAATAAGGGCCTGTGCTCTACTGCACAGCATGATGACTACAGTTAACAGGAATGTGTTGTTCACTTCAAGACAGCTAAAAGAAGATTTTCCTGGTGTTCTCACCAGGAAGAAATGATAAATATTTTAGTGATAGATATGTTAATTAGCCTGATTTGATCATTTTACAATATATACACATATCAATATACCACACTGTACTCCATAAATAGATACAATTATTTGTCAATTAAAATTAAAATTAAGTTTTTAAAAAGGAAATCAAAGGAATCTCCCAAAAATCTAGTTAATTTTCGGCTGGCACTGCGGCTCACTAGGCTAATCCTCCGCCTCCAGCGCCGGCACCCTGGGTTCTAGTCCCAGTTGCTCCCCTTCCAGTCCAACTCTCTGCTGTGGCCCGGGAAGGCAGTGGAGGATGGGCCAGGTCCTTGGGCCCTGCACCAGCACAGGAGACCAGGAGGAAGCACCTGGCTCCTGGCTTCGGATCAGTGCAGCGCACTGGCTGCAATGGGGTGAACCAATGGAAGCAAGGAAGACCTTTCTGTCTGTCTCTAACTCTGCCTGTCAAAAAAATAAATAAAAAATAAAAATAAAAAAATAAAAAATAAAAAGTACTAATTTTCCCAGGGCCAACATTATGGCACAGCAGGTAAAGCCACAGCCTGCAGCAGTACTGGCATCCCACGTGGGTGGCAGTTTGTACTCTGGCTGCTCCACTTCCTATCCAGCTCCCTGCTAACGGCCTGGGAGAAGCCCTGGAAAATGGCCCAAGTGTTTGGGCCCCTGCAACACATGCGGGAGACCTGGAAGAAGCTCTTAGCTCTTGGCTTTGGCCTGACCCGGTCTGGGACACCAGGGCCATTGGGGAGTCAACCAGCTGATGGAAGTTATCTCTCTGTGCGTGTTTCTCCCTCTCTCTCTAACTCTTCCAAATAAGTAAATAAATCTTTAAATTAAAAAAAAAGTTACTAATTTACCTCATGCTTTAACTTGAGTATCTGAATTTTCCTCTCAATATACACAAAAATTAAAGAAAAAAATCTAAATACCTTTCCTTTAAAAAAATTTATTTATTTTACTTGGAAGGCAGAGATAGAGACAGAGATCTCCCAACTGCTGGTTGAGTCTCCAAATGCTCACAACAGCCAGGGCTGTTCCCAAAGCTGGGAACTTAATCTGTGGCTCCCCCATGGGTGACAGGGACCCAACAACTTGAACCATCTGCTGCTTCTCAGGGCATGCATTAGCAGGAAGCTGGGATAGAAGCTGGGATTTAAACCCAGGCAATCCACTAGGATGCAGGCATCCCAAGCAGTGTCAATTACTACACCAAACACCCACCCTTCTAAGTGCCTTTCTACAGCAAAAACTTTCAAAATGCCACTCCTTCAGAACACAGCATTCTGTAAAAGTTAAGTAAAAGGGAATCACTAACTTTCCATCAGAATACATTCTGATTTCCATTAGATCCACTGGGGTTTCTGTAAACAGAGGGCAGATAATGGGCAGAGTTCTAGCTGCAAAGCCTGGCAGGAGCGGTGTGGGTGGAGGCCGTTTTCTCACGCTTCCTGAAACGATGAATCCACTCTCTCATGCACAGTTATGAGGGTTAGAGACGCTATGTGTAAAGCATCCAGCAGGGTATCTGACACACAGTATGCTAGGTTTTGAGGATAATGTGAATTATTTCCTGAACAGTAATTCAGTGAAAATTAAACACACAGCTCACTGGCAGGTATGGTGGGGTGCTCTTATAGTGACCTTGAATAAACTTCTACCTCAGGGGCGGGTGCAGTGGGGCAGCAGGTTAAAGCCCCAGCCTGCAGCACTGGTTTGTGTCCTTGCTGCTCCACTTCTGATCCAGCTCCCTGCTAATGTGCCTGGGAAAGCAGTAAAAGATGGCCCACGTCCTTGGGACCCTGTACCCATGTGAGAGACCCAAAAAGAAGCTCCTGGCTTCACACTGGCTCAGATCGGCTCATTTGTGGCCATCTGGGGAGTGAACCAGTGGGTGGAAGATCTCTCTGTCTCTGCCTCTCTATGTAACTCTTTCAAATAAATAAGTCTTAAAAAAAAACAAAACCTTTCACCTCAGTGTGTGTCCGAGGCGTAGCATCACCCAAGCATTCACAACACTCACACTAACTGTGCACTTGCAAAAATCACCATGAGTAAAGGTCAATGAGCAGCAACAGCCCTGTTGCACAAACGGATTAACAGGACTGAAGGAGACCAGGGAGTTAACAGTGCAGCCAAGTTCACATAAACTTCCTGGCTATGGGTGTTTCATTCACTACATTTGGCTGCCTATAAGAGAAAAAAAGTAACACATGTGTATTTTTGCAAATAAAATTATACAGAGGAAAAATGCTACTAAAGGGAAAAGAGCTAATGCAGATTTTTCTTTTTTTTTTTATTGACAGGATATTTAATAAAATGCCATAAGAAAAGCAGCCCAAAAAGTGACTAGGTAAAATACAGTTTAGGTCTAAGTGTTTAATTTTATATTATAGGACTTCAAATGACAGTATCATATACTGTTCATCTCAAATTTGAAGAAATACTAAAATAGTATTTTCTAATACAAATTTCTACAGATACACATTTAATTTTATTTTTAGAGATTTATTTATTTATTTGAAAGGCAGAGTTACAGAGAGGCAGAGGCAGAGCAAGAGAGAGAGAGAGGTCTTCCATCCACTGGTTCACTCCTCAAATGGCCAGCACTGGGCCGATCTGAAGCCAGAAGCCAGGAGCTTCTTCTGGGTATCCCACACGGGTGTAGGGGCCCAAGGACTTGGGCCATCTTCTATTGCTTTCCTAGGCCATAGCAAAGAGCTGGATTGGAAGTGGAGTAGCCTGGACTGAACTAGCACCCATATGGGATGCCGGCACTGTAGGTGATGGCTTTACCTGCTGCGCCACAGCACCGGCCCCAAATATACATTTTAAAAAGTAATTCCTAATGCTGTCTTACAAATAGGATAGGAGCCATTACTATACTTTTTTTCAAAAGATATTTCCTTTCTGTTATGTTTAATAATAGCTAGTTTACAAAAATGATACAATATTTTGGAATATTAACTGCATAAAACAGACTACAACTATATTTGTTATTGCCTATAGAGTTCCCTTACAAAATATTTATGAAATACCTAGCATGAAGAAGGCCTTCTGGACATTTCACATCATTAAATTTCTTATGCTAAAAAATTCTCAAAATAAGACAGGCAGGTGATGCTAAAATTCCATATTATTTATGAGAAAATGGAGATCTGAAAAGTGCCTTGCCCAAGCTGGTTTACTGGCCATCAAAGGTCCACATCAAGCCTAAACTCTGCTTCTTCCACTTTGCATACTGGCATACTGTTTTCCTATTTCCTACATTCTCTGTGATTAAAATAATTACAGGGACACACCACTCCACTACAGTCACAGACAACAGTGTCTCATCACTCAACAAAGATACCCCACAATTAGCTCCCACCCTCGCCTGCTCCCAAAAGGACCAAGCATCTCTCAACAAACCAGGTCATGTTAAAGGGAAAAACAACTTCAAAATAGTCTTGTTGCATCAGCACAACCCAGAAACAACCAGATACTCTTACCCAGGAGCAGAATATATGGAGCTTCAAAAAATTCATGGGAAAACAGAAATAAAAGATAATGCAAATTTTCTGGCCAGTGCCGCGGCTCACTAGGCTAATCCTCCGCCTTGCGGCGCTGGCACACCGGGTTCTAGTCCCAGTCGGGGCGCCGGATTCTGTCCCGGTTGCCCCCCTTCCAGGCCAGCTCTCTGCTGTGGCCAGGGAGTACAGTGAAGGATGGCCCAAGTCCTTGGGCCCTGCATCCCATGGGAGACCAGGAAAAGCACCTGGCTCCTGCCATCGGATCAGCGCGGTGCGCCGGTCGCAGCACGCCGGCCGCGGCGGCCATTGGAGGGTGAACCAACGGCAAAGGAAGACCTTTCTCTCTCTCTCTCTCTCTCTCTCTCACTGTCCACTCTGCCTGCCAAAAAAAAAAAAAAAAGAAAAGATAATGCAAATATTCCATGTACTTTTTGAAGCACCTTCATATATAACTTTTCCAAAATTTGAAAAACTATTTAAAAATTGTTATTCACAACTATATCAAGAAAGGCACAAGCACAATTCGGGAGACCTGATCCTATCGATGTTAAACTTACCCCAAACCACAAGGTCACCATCTGCCTTCCTAAAGGCCTCCAAAGAGAAAGCAAAAAGGAAGCTGACGCCCTGCTGCAGTGTAAAGAACAACAGGTCTACTCTGACACCAGCTAATGTGACTTGGAGGCACAGAACACACAAACCAATACAACTCCTTTATTCTGCCACCACTCCTCTTAATCAACTACCCAAGTTAATTTGTGATACAGAAACACATGTGGCAAAACACTATATACTACCTCTTATTTCTCAGACCAAGCCTTTAAGATGGGTGTGCTAATAATTCCATTTACAAATTGAAAATAAGAAAAAGCTAACTAACACAGGTAACAACCACACAGCTTATAAAAGGCTATACCTGAACTAGAACTTAGGCTTTTAACAGAACCTACTGGAACAAAACTTCATTTGAACAGAGAAGCTGAGCATTTCAGAAACCCAACTGAGTCATTATCCTTAATTTAATAAAGAAAAAAAAAAGATTTAATTACTTGAAAGGCAGAGAAAAAGAGGGAGGGAGGGAGGGAGGGAGGGAGGGAGAGAAATCCTCCATCTGCTGGTTCAGTCCTCAAATGGCCCCAGCAGCCAGGGCTGGGCCAGGCTGAAACCAGGAACCTAGAATTTTATCCAGGTCTCCCATGTGGTGGCAAGAGCTCAAGCAAACAGGCCATTGCCACTGCTTTCCCAGGCCATTAGCAGGGGGCTGGACTGGAAGTAAAGCATGTAGGACCTGAACCAGTGTTCATATGGGATGCCAGCGTCACAGGCAGCAGCCTAACCAGCTGTCTCACAGTGCTGACCACCATTAAAACAGAGATGCAGACACAGACACAGACACATTCCTTAGAAGCCAGCGTAGTAAGGGTCTAGAATCAAATCACCATCTACTACTCACGACTTGCATTACCTGAGGATCAGATACTTACTTAATCTCTGCCTTGGTTTGTAACAACTGTAAAATGGGGACAATCATTCATCTCTTTTAGGCTCCAGGAATAACAAGAAAAAATATTCCAGTAGTCTACACAAGTATGCATGTGTATACACACACACGCACACGTATGTGTGCACGTGTGTATAAAGCAAACAGAAGCTCTACAACTGTTAAGTTACACCAACACTCATATACCCCTTGAGCTTCATTCCCTTTCAATATAATAGTCCTTTCTTATCTATGAAGGATACAATCTAAAACCCACAGTGGATACCTGAAATGTCAGTGTACCCAAACTCCATACATGTTTTTTCGTATATATACCTGTGATACAGTATAACTTATATATTATGCACAATAAGAAATTAAGAACTGTGGCTCAGGGATGGGGCTCAGTGTGTTAAACTACCGCCTACAATGCCAACATCCCATATGGACGTCACTTTGAGTCCAGGCTGCTCAACTTACAATCCAACTCTCTGCTAACGAGCCTAGGGAAGCAGCAGCATATGTCCCAAGTGCCTGGGACCCTGACACTCAAATGCGAGACCTGGATGAAGCTCCCGGCTTCAGCCTGGTCCTACTCTGGCCGTTGCAGCCATTTGAGGAGTGAAGCAGTATATAGAAGATCTCTCTCCATGGGCCCCTGCACCAACATGAAAGACCAGGCTTCGGACTGGCCTAGCTCCAGCAGTTGCAGACATTTGGGGAGTGAACCAGCACATGGAAGCTCTCTGTCTCCCTCTCTCTAACTTTGCCTTTCAAATAAATAAATACAACTTAAAACAACAACAACAACAAAAAGAAAAATGATGAGGCCAGCACCATGGTGGGGTATCCTATATGTGCTTTAGTTCAAGTCCCGGCTGCTCCACTTCCCATCCAGCTCTCTGCTAATGCACCTGGAAAAGCAGCAGAAGATGGTCCAAGTGCTTTAGCCCCTGCACCCATGTGGAAGACTGGGAGAACCTGCTGACCCCTGGTTTCAGCCTGGAGCAGCCACAGCCATGTGGCCATCTGGGGAGTGAACCAGCAGATGAAGATCTTTCTCTCTAATAAATAAATGATGATGATGCTGATACTTGAGAAGAAGCCACAGAATCTGCTAGTTAACACTCTAGCTTGCCTTTTGAACACTGAAACACTGACAAGCACAGAAAGAGCCTTATCAAGAATCATGAGCCACTGAGCACTGGTTTGAGTCCCAGACGTTCTGTTTCCAACCCAGTTCCCTGCACTTGGGAAAGCAGCAGAAGATGGCCCCTGCACCCACATGGGAAACCCAAATGGAGTTCCAGGCTCCTGGCTTTGGTCTGGCCCAGCCCCAGCCATTGTGGCCATTTAGGGAGTGAACCAGAGGATGGAAGTACTCTCTCTCTCCCCCTAACTCTGCCTTTCAAATAAATAAATCTTAAAAAAAATAAATAAAGTCATGAGCCACAATGGATCAAACCCAAACACTGCAAAAACTTCCTTCAGCTGCATTGAACACTCCTATTTCTGCCACATGGGAAGAAAATCCAACTAAGAAAATTTTTTCTTTTTGTTAGTTTAATTATTTTTTATTTATTTGAGAGAGGGTAAGTGAGTTCCCATCTACTAGCTCACTCCCGCAAATATCTACAATGGCTAAAGCCAAAGCCAGGAGCCAGGAATACAATCCAGGTCTCCCACATAGGTGTCAGGACCCCAATTTCTTAAACCATTACCACTGCCTCCCAGGTCCTACACTGGCAGAAAGATGGAGTCAGGAGCCCGAAAAATCCAACACAGGTGCTCCAGTGTAGCATGCAGGGATGCAGGTATCTTAACCCTTAGGTTAAAACACTCACTCTTTTTCTAATTCATTTTCCTTGCATGGCTGCAAGCATGCGAACAATTACAGATTTGGATCCTGGAGGAGCCCCGCCTTGGAAACCTCATGGCAAAAGAAAATCGTGCCAACTGCCTTCACTGGCATTGCCCAAACCCTCCCACCATTGTCTCAATTTGCAAATACTGCAGGTGACTGAAATACATCCTTATTGATAGGTAAGTCCTAGCACAGTAAGTATAAATCGCCCTCTTAGGTTTATTATTATGTCCATATGAAAAACACAGGGGCCAGAGCCATGTCTCCTCCGTCCACTGTTTACTCTGCTCACCCATGGTCCTCAGAAAGGGCAGCACATCGCAGCTGGCAAGCACAGTGACCACCCAGGACTGGGCTGAGCCCCACACCCAGCCAGCCTTGGGAACAGACACAGAAAATGTCAGTCAGCAGTGGGGAGTCTAGTGTGAAAGATCCTTAAGACCACTTTGAAACTGAGCAAGATAACCAGCAAACAAAGAAAGCCAGAGGAGAGAATGAGTAAGCAAAGCCACCATGGGAGACACGGTGGAGTCACCCTGGTCTGTGACTTTATTGGTCCAGCTGCCCATGAAGCCCAGCTGCCTTTTGCTTCTTGTCCTTCTCTGGAGGACAGATCCCTCCACCTCCATCCCTGCTCTTTCTGAGCTGATTTTAGTGAAACTCCAGGCCCTGCATTCAAAGATGCCTGCACAAGGACATTAGCCCATTGCCTGGCACACAGAAGGGATTCAACATTTAAAACAAAAAACAGGAGCACAAACCTTACAAAATACCTGATGGTAGAGGGGCATTCCCATAGATACGGTTCCTCAACAGACAGGCTAGTTTCTCTTAATTCATGTACCAAATAATGGTATGGAAATAAATGGTATTTGACAACAAGATGACACTGTACTCCAACTTATCAAACAATAAGTAGGCATTCACATCTTACAATGAAAGCACAGCTTGGCAGTTCATATTGTTCTTTTAAATTGAATAATTTGGAATCCTGTAAGTTCCACCTTACTCTACATTCCCTCATTCTTGTGCAAATATAATCCCTCTATCAACATATTAGCATTTCAATCACCTTTGCTTTTTTCATAACTGGAGAAGCTGTCTTCATTTATTCCTATTGAGCATCTACCACCTATGAATTATTTCTGAAGCTAGGCAGTAAAATGGAATTCAAGTTCAAGAAAATCAGAAACTGAAGCTATTTTCAAAAATAAACGTAGGACATTGGTTCCAGTTACATACTCCCAGATATTATAAATATGCTCAAAGATTAGTTTACTATAAGCTGAAAATAATTTTCTCTGAATTAAGTTATAACACTTAGAAATGGAAAACCAACCCCACAGTTAAAGGGTTTATATGTTTTTGTTTTTTTTTTTTAATTCTGGATCAATTTCTATTCCTGGAGTAAATATATATACCATCCCCCAAAAAATTTTTTTCAAGTCCCCTTTAAGCATCCCTTTAAGGCACTGACCATAAATGGTGTAATTTGCCCTGGACATCATTAAAATGTAAAGTTAATGAGGATTCAGCTGAAAACAGAAGGAATGTAACCTATTTTCAGGCAAAAGTTCTAACACAGCAATCAGAGGGAAAAGCTCTTTGATGTTTCTTTGTCTCTTCTCATTAATTTTTTTTGTCTCAAAAAAAAAAAGGACTATTTAAATTTTTTTTAAAAAGCACCAAAGTTTAAACATGATAATTATAACAGAACTCCAGTGAGGTTGTTGGGATTTTTTTTCATGAGATAAACAAGAGCCAGTCCCATATACATGAGGATATCACCACCTACCTGCAGAGCTGCTGGAAGGTTTACAGACACTGTAAGTAAAGTGTGCGGTGGAATAAATGACACGTGCAAGGGACTCGCTGAAATTCTTTCTTTTGGTGCCTCTCTGCTCCCCAAGGGCCAGGCACAATGCCGATGGAAAATTAGTTCTCAAAGAATAGCCATTACTATTGTCACATATAAT